ACTATAAGACCCACCCGTCGAGCAGGGACGAAAGTCGGCCTTAGTGATCTGACGGTGCCGAGTGGAAGGGCCGTCGCTCAACGGATAAAAGTTACTCTAGGGATAACAGGCTGATCTTCCCCAAGAGCTCACATCGACGGGAAGGTTTGGCACCTCGATGTCGGCTATTCGCCACCTGGAGCTGTAGTAGGTTCCAAGGGTTGGGTTGTTCGCCCATTAAAGCGGTACATGAGCTAGGTTCAGAACGTCGTGAGACAGTTCGCTCCATATCCGGTGTGGGCGTTAGAGAATTGAGAGGACCTTTCCCTAATATGAGAGGACCGGGAAGGACGCACCTCTGGTGTGCCAGTTATCGTGCCAACGGTAAACGCTGGGTAGCCAAGTGCGGAGCGGATAACTGCTGAAAGCATATAAGTAGTAAGCCCACCCTAAGATGAGTGCTCTCCTATTCCAACTTCCCCAGAGCCTCCGCGTAGGGTGGGTTCTCTTCCCCTACGGGGACGATGCAAAAGAAGTTTTGAGAATTCAAGGTCACGGCGAGACGAGCCATTTTTCATTAACGATAGGTGTCAAGTGGAAGTGCAGTAATGTATGCAGCCGAGTCATCCTAACAGACCGATAGACTTGAACCTTGTTCCTACATGACCTGGTCAATTCGATCAGGCACTCGCCATCGATTTGTATTGTTCAACTCTTTGACAACATGAAAAAACCAAAACCTCTGTCCCCCACACCTTGAATAGATAGGGATGGAAGGGCAAAGGCCTTTGGTGTCCTCTCCAGTCAAGAATTAGGACCTCACACTCACAATGATTTACTTGTTCCTGAAAATATTTTCTCCCCTAGACGCCGTAGAGAATTGCGAATTCTAACTTGTTTGAACCATAGGAAGAATCGGAAGACGATGGATAGAAACACAATAACTGATAAAGAAAAAACGAAGTCTTCTGAAGTTTTGACTAAAAAGAAAGATCTTGATAGCGATACAAAAAAACTAAGGAATTTAAAATTCTTTCTTTGGCCAAATTATCGATTCGAAGATTTAACTTGTATGAACCGCTATTGGTTTGATACACATAATGGAAGTCGTTTCAGTATATTGAGAATATGTATGTATCCTCGCCTCGATTGAAAATCTAGATTTTTGTTCTATTTATCCTAATATTTCTCGTAACATATCTATCTGATCTGTGAACAATATTTATAGATAAATAAAATAAACGTCCACACACATTGTGGGAGTCATACGAATTCAATTTCAATGATGTCTCCATAAATCCATCGAAAAATGAATAAAATCTATGGTCTTATTTTTGTCTTTAAAATACAAGACAATAGATTTTATTCATTTTATGAATCCATAAATATAGTATTTATTATCTATTTGAATTACATTCCTTAATAATGAATTTGAAAGAAAAAAAAAAGAAATTCAGAATTTTTAAATAAATGAAGAGAAAATTTTTTATAAAAAATTAAAAATAAGTGTAATTACTATTACTGATCAATAAAAATATCTACCAAAAAGGAGGGGGGGGGAAGCTTTCATTTTATGATCAAAAATCCAGTTATACCTGTTATTTCAAAAAAAAAAAAAGAAGAAGAAAACCCGGGATCGGTTGAATTTCAAGTATTCATCTTAACTAATAAGATACGAAGACTTACTTCACATTTTGAATTACATCCAAAGGACTATTTATCTCAAAGAGGTTTACGTATAATTCTGGGAAAACGACAACGACTATTGTCGTATTTGTCAAAGAAAAACAAAATACGTTATCAAAATTTAATAAATCGGTTGGGTATTCGGGATTTATTCACAAATTAGCTAATTTCAAGAATCATTTTCAATTATTCGATTTATTAGATACTGAATTTTGATTAACTTTTTTTTGAACGATTCATGGAAGAATGAATCGAGGAAAAACCTATGAATGTCCCAGCTACAAGAAAAGACCTCATGATAGTAAATATGGGGCCTCAACACCCATCGGTGCATGGTGTTCTGCGGCTTATTGTTACTCTGGATGGTGAAGATGTTATTGATTGTGAGCCAATATTGGGTTATTTACACAGAGGTATGGAAAAAATAGCGGAAAACCGAACAATTATACAATATCTGCCTTATGTAACTGTCGTACCTCGAAAAATACGATCCTCGCGATGGACGCGGAAAATACTGTTCGAAACAGAGTCGCCACCGAACTTTATTCATTCCAAGGATGGAATAGGAAAATATCGATAAAACCTTAAAGGAGATAAGAACATGGTCATCGCAACCAATATTCTAGGTTCGGGAGTCGGTTACATAAGGGGAAGGTATTAGCACCTCTCATGTCCGTTGTACTCAACGAGAACCTCTTGATTCAATTCGTGAGAGAAAATGGATACGCTTGTTTATCTTCTAAAGGAATTGCTTGCTAAAGGAGAAAGGGATGGTTAAGATAGGGTGCTCGCCAAGGATTGAGGCCCTTGTGCCTACGTATCTTCACTTGTAAGAAGTGGAAAATCAGAGCGTTCGTAGTTCACGGGACTACGGGTAAAAGTTTGGGAATTATGGGGAAATGTGCTCGCCAAGATCATCGCAATCTTGTGCCTACGTATCTTAAATTCAGAAGAGAATGAAGAGTCAGAGCAGCCGTAGTTCGGCTAACTACGGTAAAAGGTTTGTGTTTGGAATGAACGAGAGTTTAGGTCACATTCTAACTGCTAAACATTGGCTTGTCTGCTCACCAGGGGAGGCTGAAGCACGAGTTCTTATGCGCGGGAGAATGGAATAAACAATGTTCTTTGGTAAAAGGTATGGGAACCTAAAGGTGGGAAAGAAAGAAAAGTGCTCGCTAGGATCATCGCAATCCTATGCCTACGTATTCTCAACGGATGTGAGAAATCAGAGCAGCCGTAGTTCGGCTAACTACGATAAAAGGGTTGGTAAACGAACGAGTGTTTAGGTCGCATTCTAACTGCTAAATGTTGGCTTGTCTGCTCGCTAGGGGAGGCTGAAGCACGAGTTTGTTATGCGCGGAGGAATGGACTAAACAATGTTCTTTGAAAAAGGTATATGAGTTGTGGATCGCACGAGGGCGAGTAGAGTTTGATTGGTTAAATATTTTGGTTTTGAAAAGAGGGTAGATTTGAATAGGTTTTAGGATTGTGGTCGCACGGGGCGAGGTATTTGGTTAGATGTATCATATGTTTAGCTAGAGGTGACGATTACTTGAAGCTTAAGAAAGACTTCTCGGACCCAAGTAACTGGGAGAGTAAACCAAAGACTTGGAGCTCTCTCTTTTTCAACCTCAAATGCGAGAGGATAGAATTGAGTATGGTTTGAATAAGTTGAACGGATGAAGATTACTTGAAGCTTAAGAAAGACTTCTTGGACCCAAGTAATCGAGAAAGCGAACCAAAGACTTGGAACACTCTCTTTTTCATCGCAAAAGGAGTTGTTTGAATGGCGTTTGAAAGATAGGATGTAATTAAAGTATTTTAAAAGATGAGGATTACTCGAAGCTTAAGAAAGACTTCTTGGACCTCAAATAATTGGGAGAGTGAACCAAAGACTTGGAGCTCTCTCCTTTTCTCATCTAATATTATGAAAGATGTTTTATATAATTAGAGTATTTTAATCGGATGACGATTACTCGAAGCTTAAGAAAGACTTCTCGGACCCTAAGTAATCGGGAGAGTGAACCAAAGACTTGGAGCTCTCTCTTTTTCATCTAAGTGTTTAGGAAAATAGATTTGAATTTGTTTATGGTTTTTAGAAGACAATTGTTCGAGCTTAAGAAAGACTTCTCGGACCCAAACAATTGGGAGAGTGAACCAAAGACTTGGAACTCTCTCTTTTTCATCTAAGTGTTGAAATTGTATTTGAGTAGTTATTAAGTATTTTAATTTGATTTGGAGAAAATGCTTGATGTGAATCAAGGTTTAAAATTGAGTTTTAACGTGTATACTAGCAAAGTGGGCTAGTCTTCTAAATGACCAACCAGAAGTAATTGATCAAATAGGTCTCACTGTAAGAAAGCCCAGGAGCAAGCTCTAAATGTTGTGTATGGTGATCAAAGGTTGATGGCGAGGCTTTGAAAGCACTCGACTTACAAGGGTAGAAAATGGCTCGATAAATCGAGAATTTTATTTTTAAAAGGGTTTTGAAGCATTAAAGCGATAAAAATTATTACATTTTGTGGGAGTTGGGATACATTTGATCAAATGGGGATGAAACAAAGCAATTAGATAAATTGAACCCAGAAGATATCAAGTAATTCTTAAATCAGAATCTAAACTAAAAACAAACATGTCAAGAAGATATTTCAAATTTTAATAAAAATAAATTGATTAGAGATTTATTTTATGTAAATGATCTTAATTAAATAAAAGATTTTAATTTGATTAACCAAATTAATTAAGATTAACATAATAGAATATCAATATCAAACATGACTTGCAATTTACCGAATCCATGGATTAAAACCCTTATCAAATTAACTAAAAATTATTTTATTTGTTAACAAAAAGAAATTGATGGGCTTAGAACCCATATTAATAATGAATGAACACAATAGTTGACATTCCTATTTTAATATTAACCAATGTATTGCTAGAATTCATACAATTTAAAACAAAATAAATATAACCCTTAGCCTTGTGTCAATATCATTATACCACTTCAATATAATTCTAAGACAAATTGAATATTCCACAAAGTCATTGAATGTTAATAACAGTGTAAAATAATAATAACAATTCAAAACCATTAGTGGTTTCTAACCTATATCCAAAAGAAAATAAAATGTAGTGTTGATTTTGTTTCATGGGATTAAAACTACAGCAGTATTGAATTGGGATTAAACTATGTCCAATAGAAATTTTACTCTGCTTCAAAATAAAACAAATAGCCTTTAATTTTCAAACTGTTATAGAAAATAGAAAAAAGATTTGCCACAAACTAGCCACATATCAAATTTACCATTATATCTAAACCGTAAATCTTCGGCCACCACCTACCATGTGTGTTAGTTATCAACTCACAAACATGAAAAAAAAAAACAAAATTAGCACATATTCAATAAAGCAGATTAAACAACATGTATTTAAGATTTGTCTCAACAGTAAAATCAGCCATAATTTCACACAGATCAAAAGCAACCTTATGAGATAACAGGAAATGATTTAGGTGAATAACCTCTTTTAAACTTAATCTAGGCTAATAATCATGAAACCATAAATAATAATGTTGGTAAAAACTTAATCAATAAATAATATTTCTCAGTTTCTTTTCAAATAAGGACAGGATTACCACAATCCATTTATGCATAACAGAACTCGGGGCCAAAGAAAATCCAACCGAAACCGTAATAAAAAAAGAAGTAAAAACAATGTGAAGTCCAATCGATAGCAGCAAGAAAACAGAGCTAAAGAATTTGGGGATTACCGATAATATTTTCGCCACAATGTTGTTGTTGTTGTCACGAAATGGAAAGTCGTGATGTTGTTGTTCTTGAAACGAAATCGACAATGTTGAGATTGCCTCCGTTAAGCATCAAAGCTGCTGCTACTGATGTTGATACCTTACATTGTTGTTGGTGAAGAAGTTGTCCCCTACATCTGGCTCATAACGAATCAAAATGTTGAGTATTTTCCGCGTCGTGGTTTAAATTCCTAAACAAAGTGCGAAGAACTGTTCGAAGTGGTTGTTGAATCAAGTGTTTGCAGAAGGAGTTTGGTTGGTGGTGTCGGCGACCGTTACTTTTTTGTGAGGGGGAATAGGAAGAGATGAAGGTTGAGGGTGATAGATGGAGAAAGAGAAGGTTGATGAATGGCGGCGGAAGGGTTTCCTTTTGGGTGAGAGGAAGGTGAATAATGGAGTGAGAGAGGCGGCTAGGATTCTCCAATTTGGGGCGGCTAGGGTTATCCTTTTATGATGATGAATAGTAACTCCTTATATAATCCCAAATCCTAACCCTAATTCCAATTCCAACCAACCGTGTTTTCACTCTCAGCCTCCATTCAATTTTGTTTTCTTTTTCTTCTTTTTTTTAATTAATTAATAATCCTTTTCTAATATGATTTCCAATTATTATATTAATTATTCTAATCTAATTTTTAATATAAATCCTAACTAAAATTCTGACTCTAATAAAAAAATCTAATTAAATATTCTAATGCCATTTATAATTCAATTCTAAATATAAACTAGTTAATTAACTAATATTAAAACTATATTATATTGACATATTAAAAAAAATTATAAGGCAAAAATAATAAAATAAAATAATAACAAAATAAAAAAATGCCACGTGTCACAAATTTATTGGGCAAAAAGGTGAAAAATACGTTAAGTTGTACAAGCAATGCAAATTAAAAAATAAAGTCGGGCGAATGAAAATTTTGAAAAAGGTAGGACAAATTTGGGGTATGACAGTAACACGTTGGGATTATTTAGCTACTATGTTCACAGAAGCAATAACTGTAAATGGACCGGAACAATTGGGAAATATTCAAGTACCTAAAAGAGCCAGCTATATAAGAGTAATTATGTTGGAGTTAAGTCGTATAGCTTCTCATCTACTATGGCTGGGACCTTTTATGGCAGATATTGGTGCACAAACCCCTTTTTTCTATATTTTTAGAGAAAGAGAATTAATATATGATCTATTCGAAGCTGCCACAGGTATGAGAATGATGCATAATTTTTTTCGTATTGGGGGAGTAGCGGCTGATCTACCTTATGGTTGGATCGATAAATGTTTGGATTTCTGCAATTATTTTTTAACAAGGGTTATTGAATATCAAAAACTTATTACGCAAAATCCAATTTTTTTAGAACGGGTTGAAGGAGTGGGTGTTGTTGGTAGAGGGGAAGTTATAAATTGGGGGTTATCAGGACCGATGCTTCGGGCTTCCGGAATATAATGGGATCTACGTGAAGTTGATAATTATGAGTGTTACGAGGAATTGGATTGGGAAGTTCAATGGCAAAAAGAAGGAGATTCATTAGCTCGTTATTTAGTTCGAATTGGTGAAATGGTGGAATCCATAAAAATAATTCAACAGGCTTTGGAAGGAATTCCAGGGGGGCCTTATGAAAATTTTGAAATTCGCTGCTTTGATAGAGAAAAGGAGCCAGAATGGAATTATTTTGAATATCGATTCATTGGTAAAAAATCGTCTCCTACTTTTGAATTGCCGAAACAAGAACTTTATGTGAGAATTGAGGCCCCCAAGGGAGAATTAGGAATTTTTCTAATAGGAGATCAGAATGGTTTTCCTTGGAGATGGAAAATTCGTCCACCCGGTTTTATCAATTTGCAAATTCTTCGTCAATTAGTTAAAAGAATGAAATTGGCTGATATTATGACAATACTAGGTAGCATAGATATCATTATGGGAGAAGCTGATCGTTGAAATGATAATTGATACAACGGAAGTCCAAGATATAAACTCCTTTTCCGGATTGGAATCTTTCAAAGAGGTCTATGGAATTCTATGGATACTTTTACCAATTTTGATTCTTGTCTTGGGAATTACAATAAGTGTACTAGCAATTGTATGGTTAGAAAGAGAAATATCTGCAGGGCTACAACAGCGTATTGGACCTGAATATGCTGGTCCTTTTGGAATGCTTCAAGCTCTAGCAGACGGAACAAAACTACTATTCAAAGAGAATCTTATTCCATCTAGGGGAGATATTCATTTATTCAGTATTGGACCATCCATATCAGTCATATCCATTCTAATAAGTTATTCAGTAATTCCGTTTGGCTATAATTTTGTTTTATCTGATTTCAACATGGGTGTTTTTTTATGGATTGCTATTTCGAGTATTGCTCCCATTGGACTTCTTATGTCAGGATATGGCTCAAATAATAAATATTCCGTTTTGGGTGGTCTACGAGCTGCTGCTCAATCGAAGTTATGAAATACCATTAACTCTATGTGTCTTATCAATATCTCTATGTGCGATTCGTTGAAACCGAAAAAGCTATTCGATGATATTCTATTGCTATACTCCTCTCTTTATAGTACTATATTTCTATATAGTACTATAATTTCTATATAGTACTATATAGCGAATAAATTGAATAGAAACCTTCATTATCTTTATTTTCTTTTTCAAAATTCTGATTGAAGGACTAAATTAGATAGTTATATGAGTGAAATAAAACAGCTTATATTGAATCTAATTTCAGAATACTAGATTCCTGCTAGTTAATAGATAGTATGATGATTTTATAAGGGCAGTTATATTCCTACGAATGTCATTTCCATTACAGATGGTCAAATATTCTTATCTGCCAATTTATTCAATGCTGGGATCAGACCCGCAATTAATGTGGGTCTTTCCGTTTCCAGAGTTGGATCGGCGGCTCAAATAAAAGCCATGAAACAAGTCGCTGGTAAATTAAAATTGGAATTAGCACAATTCACAGAATTAGAAGCTTTTGCACAATTCTGTACCGATCTTGAGAAAACTACGCAATATCAATTGGCAAGAGGTCAATGATTGTGCGAGTTGCTTAAACAATCCCAATCATCTCCTATTACTGTGGAAGAACAGATAATAACTATTTATACTGGAACGAATAGTTATCTTGATTCATTAGAAATTCAACAGGTAAGGAAATTTCTCGTTAAGTTACGGGCTTATTTAAAAACGAATAAACCGAAATTCAACGAAATCATATCTTCGACCAAGACATTTATTGGGGAAGCAGAAGCCATTTTGAAGGAAGCTATTCAGGAACAGATGGAACTCTTTTTACTTCAGGAACAAGTAGAAAAAAATTGATTCCAAATTTCATACCTTTCTAGATAATTAGTCTCTTTCCATATTTCAAAAAGAATAATAAAGAGAAGAAATTCACAATATAGTTTTCGAAATCAATGGATTCATGATAAAACCCCCCATAATGAGAATGTGTTTTTTATTTATTTTTGGAAGGGGTCAAATCAAAAGAAAAGGGGTTGGGGTATCAAATGGTATAGTTATTTTGTTGGTAAATTAGAGGATTATAAACATGACTATTGCGTTTCAATTAGCTATTTTTGCATTAATTGTTACTTCATCCATTTTATTAATTAGTGTACCTGTTGTATTTGCTTCTCCTGATGGTTGGTCAAGTAACAAAAATGTTGTCTTTTCCGCTACATCCTTATGGATTGGATTAGTATTTCTAGTGGGTATTCTGAATTTTCTCATCTCTTGAAACTATTCATTCTAGATCAAAAAACGAAATGACCCCTCCCCCCGAATTCTTTCGGGTTGTGAGGCACATGAAAATGGAATATATAAGACCCCACCAATAAAGAAAACGAAAACATTAATAATGGGAATTATTAATGGGAGGGGTCAAACTTCTTCTATTGGAAAAAGCTTATATCTTATACTTAATATGATATGCATAGTAAAACAAAAAACTTGAAGATTAAAATATTCATATTATTTTCTGAATTTCATATTCTTTTTGGAATCGAAAATAAAATAGATATATAGATCATAGATAAACATCTATAATCTGCACAATTTGACATCAAAGTAACATGCTGGTGTCAGACAACTTCATCATTTTTTTATGCCAGTAGGTGTTCCAAAGGTAGCCTTTCAAATTCCTGGCAAGGATGAAGCTACTTGGGTTGACTTATACCATCAACTTTTTTACGACAGACTCCTTTTTTTAGTGCAAGAGATTGAGAGTGAAATAGCAAATCAAGTTGCTGGTATGATGATATATCTCAGTTTAGATATAAATAAATACATAGAGAAAAGAGAAATAAATAGAAAAGAAAAAACAATCGATAAAAAAAATACATCAATTTTTTAAAAATTTTTTAAATAAAGGGGGATATATGAATCAAACGAAGAAAAATGACTTAGACATTTGGATTTTAGAATTGCTAGACATTTTTAGAGAGAGCAAGAATTCTTCCTATTTCTCAGATTCCTGGACACAATTCCATTCAGTCATATCTGTCATTCACATTTTTTTCCATCAAGAGAGTTTTATCAAACTCTTAGACTCCAGAATTTGGAGTATCCTAGTTTCACGCGGTTTAACAAGATATTTCACGATCAAGAATTTTGTCTTATTTCTACTAGCGATCCTTATATATCGTATTAACAATCGAAAGATGATCGGAAAAAATATTTATTTGACAGGGCTTCTTCCTATACAAATCAATTCCATTGGATCCAGGAATGATCCATTGGAAGACTCAAAAGATTTGTTCAATATCAATAGGTTGGTCATGACTAGGTTGATTGTTCCGCTCCTGTCTGGTCCAAAAGAAAAAAATATATCTGAGAGAGATAATTGCTCTTTTTTCGGCGACAGATGGTCAGAACTTCATCTGGATTTGAATCCTACTGAGAAGTCCGCTCAAGATATAAAATTATTTAAAAAAGAAGAAGATGTTTCTTTTGTTCTTTCGAGGCAATCAGAAAATAAAGAAATAGCCAATATAGTTAAGATAATCATGTATTTACAAAATAATGTCTCAATTAATCCTATTTCATCCGATAGAGGATGTGATAGGGTTGCAAAGGAGAAACTTTTGACAGTTCCAAATCATATTTCATTCTTGAACAAAAATCTAGTTTTTGGTTTATTTGATCTATTCCATGACCAGAATAGGGGGGGTACTTGTTATATCGCGATTTTCAATCAGAAGAGAGATTTCAAGAAATGGAAATCTATTCAATCTCTCAATAACTAAGCCGGATCTGGTGTATCATAATGGATTCTCTTTTTCTATTGATTTATCGAAAATTGATGATAAACAGTTTGTAAATCAAGTATTCAACTCCAGAGATGAATCAAAAAAGAAATCTTTATTGGTTCTGCCTCGGCTTTTTTACGAAGCGAATGAATCTTTTTATCCAAAGATCATAAAAAAAATGGGTCCAGACCACTTGTGGGAATTCTTTTCAAGGTAATCGATCCAATCGCAACTTAGAATATGTAATTAAAAGGTATGAAAATGATATTCATAATCATATACCTCTAAGTAAACACATGATCAATCAACGTTTCTCAAATTGGAAAAAGAGTCAGAAGAAGTGCTTTGATCCTCTTCTTTTTATTTATCGAACCGAGAGATCCGTGAATAAGGATCCAAATACAGATAAATACAAATGGTCCAAGGGGAGCAAGAATTTCCAGGAACATTTGGACCATTTCATTTCTGAGGAGAATAGCCGTTTTCAAGTAGTGTTCGATCGATTACATATGAATGCATATTCGATTGATTGGTCTGAGGTTATCGGAAAAAAAAAAATTCTAAGTCACGTTGTTTGTTTTTGTCCAAGCTTCTTCCCTTTTTCTCTAACTCAGTTCCTTTTTTCTTGGTGAGTTTCGGGAGTATGCCCGTTCATAGGTCTCAGATCCATATGGATGAATTGAAACGTATGAATGATGCACTCGGGAATCAGTTGTTAGAATCAATGGGTCTGCAAACGGTTCATTTTAAAAAAAAATATGATTTTCAATCAAAAATGTTGTAAAGCTGTGATTCAAAAAGATGGTTCAATCCTCTTTAATCGGAAAAGGAAGAACAACATTTACAAAATTAATCTTTCAGAACTAAAAGTTCAAAATGTAAAATGCCTTATGTCTGTTAACGATGAGCAATGGGTCTGGCATAGAAGATTGGGTCATATTAGTATGAGACGTATATCTTAGATTAATAAACTCAATCTGGTCAGAGGACTTCCTTAGTTGAAGTTCAACTCAGATACTTTTTGTGAAGCATGTCAGAAAGGAAAATTTTCAAAATCATCTTTCAAAGCTAAAAATGTTGTCTCTACCTCTGGACCATTAGAGCTTCTTCATATTGATCTGTTTGAACCAGTGAAAACTGCATCCATCAGAGGCAAGAAGTATGGATTAGTCATAGTTGATGACTACAGCAGATGGACATGGGTAAAATTCCTGAAACACAAGGATGAGTCATATTCTGTATTCTTTGACTTCTTCAAACAAGTCCAAAATGAAACAGAATTTAAAATTGTTAAAGTCAGAAGTGATCATGGTGGAGAATTTGAAAATAAATATTTTGAAAAATATTTTAAAGAAAATGGCATTGCACATGATTTTTCTTGTCCTAGAACTCCTCAACAGAAATGGAGTTGTAGAAAGGAAAAATAGAACATTGCAAGAAATGGCCAGAACCATGATCAACGAGACAAACATGGCAAAAAAAATTTGGGCAGAGGCAATCAATACAACATGTTATATTCAGAACCGAGTGTCTGTAAGACCTCTTCTGGAGAAGACTCCTTATCAATTGTGGAGGAATAGAAATCCCAACATTTCTTATTTCCATCCTTTTAGATGTGTTTGTTTTATTTTGAATACTAAAGACAATCTGAACAAGTTTGATTCTAAAGCACAGAAGTGTTTCATGCTTGGATATTCTGAATGCTCTAAAGTCTACAGAGTATATAATACTGAGACACAGATTGTAGAGGAATCAATTCATGTTAGATTTGATGATAAGCTTGGCAATCAAAAGCCAAAGCAGCTTGAAATTTCTACAGATGGAGAAGTGCTTCTCACAGACTCTAAAGATTTAGAAGCAGACAAAGCTCAAGTAAAAGCACCTGAAGCAACGTCAGATGCTACTCCTTTGACTGCTCAGATGGACAAATTGACCATTTCTGAAGAACCCCCTCTAAAAGGATCCTCCAGAATCAAAGCTTCTCATTCAAAGGAAATGATAATTGGAAAGAAGGATGACCCTATCAGAACAAGATCCTTTCTCAGATCATCTGGAACGCCATTGTTTGGTTTGATATCAATCATTGAACCTACCTCTGTGGATGAAGCTCTGCAAGATAATGATTGGATACTTGCTATGCAAGAGGAGCTTAATTAATTCACAAGGAATGATGTTTGGGATCTGGTTCCAAGACCAAAAGGA